CTATACCCAAGTGGGCCCTGTGTAGTTCGTCCAGGATCAGTTTTTGAAGTTTAGTCGTGATAACCACACGATGTTTGAAAGTATTGCAGCCGGATGATATCTCATACTTGCACTCTGGTGATTTGTATCCATTTCTTGTAAGACATTGGCCGCTCTCCAGGATTTGCAAAATTTTGCCCTAATGCTGGTCTTTTCTGGTTTCTCGAGCAACTAGCGCAGCTGTAACTGGAAGCTGATTTATTTGTCGTGTTATAAAATTATCGAATTCGTCCCGATTGGCTGTGTTAAAATGGATACCATTACTCGTGTTGAGTGGTAATCGAGAAAAGTAGTCAGCATATACATTTTCCTTTGTAGGGTAGGGTGTAAAATATGTTCGTGTGGTTTGTTATCGGTAACCAATGTCCAACTTCTGGCGTATAAATATTTGAAGAATCTTTGTACCGCCCGATTTGTGTATATCGTTGTTCTGTGGGACTCATTGTACGGCTTGCGTATGCAATTGGACGTTCGCCACCATTTTCCAAACGATGCGATAGTACAGCGCCTATACCTATTTTGCTGGCGTCCGTTGCTAGCACTAATGGAATTGTTGGGTCATAAGGCATCAGCACCTGCTGTGAAACTAGAATTTGTTTGATTCTGTTGTAAGCTAAGTCCGTCTCTTCTGACCAGTAGAATTGTCGTCCTTTGAGTATATCGCACAGCGGTCTTTCCAAAATTGACAAATTTGGTATCAAATTTGAGTAGTAGGCTGCTTTCCCAAGAAACAGCTGCAAGTGTTTGATTGTAGATGGTTTCGGTGCTTTTAAGATGGCCTCAATATGCTTAGTTGATTTATGTATGCCTTCTGCGTCAATCTTGTGTCCCAGAAACTCAACCGAAGATGCGGCGAATACACATTTTCATTTGTTCAATTTAAATCCCAGGCTCTGTAATTTTTCTAATGTTGCTTCTAAGGTTCTTATTCTATTAGAATGTCGTCAATGATGTTACGTACATTAGGAATATTTTTCAATGTGGCCTCCATTGTTCTCTGCCAGATTTCCGGTATGTTTGCTGCTCCGTACACTGCACGAGTCGGTCGAATGAGACCGTGTGTTGCCGTATTTAATGTCAGTACGTGTGCGAATTCGTCATCAATGCGCAAATGTGAAAATGCATCAGTTACATCCATACCTCCCGTTTTCTTCGTTACCACATGTGTTGTGGATGCGCATTCTGAGTAATCAACTCGTTTGTAGAAGCTTGCAGCAATTTTTGCGTCGATCTCTTTGGCATAAGCATCACCTTAATAGCTGGTCCTTTGAATGCTCCTGCTGCAGAGTCAAATATCGAATCAAATTTTGTTAGTATTTGCTCTAGTTGTGCCCTCTTACTCGTAGTCAGTCCCGCCGCTTGTACTGCTATTGTTTTGAAAGCGCTTCCTTTTGTCGAGAGCATTTCCAGATCTATGTCGTTGGTGTTGACAGAATTGTTTGTAAAGATCCCAGTGAAATCAATTTCTTTTGCGAATTGGGAGATCCATTCTCGCCCACACAGTGTGTCCAGGTTTCCTTCTACTACATACAGATTTAGTTTACGTGTAGTCTTTCCATAAGTTACGCTAACAACTGCCCATCCACAGCAGTTGATCCTGTGCCCTGTATAGCTCGAAAATTTGCGGTCTGTTTTCTTTAATCGTATTAACGGTTTAATTTTCCGAAAGGTCTTTTCATTCATTATGCTGCACGGAGCACCTGTGACCAGTTCCATTGGTATTTTTATTCCATCAATCTACACTGTTATGATTTTTCTATATACTGACTTAATGGCGTTGGTATTAGATTGTTGTATAAATTGTATTTCTTCCGGGGCGTCTGAATCTGTTGGCTCGGAGATCTGTTTCGTATTGGCCTTACATACCCTACCTAAGTATATGGCATACTTTACCTCACACGTAACATTTCTCGTTTTTGAATTTGCAATCTTTGCGCAAGTGTTGGCCTCCACGTCCGTAGCATTTGCTTCACTGCTTCACTCCGCTTGACGGTTTCCTCCTGATTGGCGAGAAGCCCATTTTGCATGTAGGCTCTGTATCTGCAGCTTGGCTGTCATTAACCGTGTTTGCTGATCGTAGTAACAATTCCCTGGCATATGCAGCCTCGTATGCGTCTGCAAAGGTTGTTGGCTGTTTTGCGATTATCTCATCGCAAGTGCTGTGATTTTGCATGCCGAAAAGCATTTGTTCTGTTAGCATTCTGTCTAAAAACGAGTCGTACTTGCAAAATGATGCTGCCTGTTTCAAGCGTGGAACAAACGCTGCTAGTGACTCCTCTGGCTCCTGGCGTAGTTGGCGGAATTTGAAACTCTCTGCGTAAATGTTTCGTTTGCCATCGAAGTTATTAATAAGCACTTCCTTAATCTCGCTGAATTGAAGTGTCTCTGGTTGCCTCGGTTTTATCAGGATACGTAGCGCTGAATTCAGTTCAGCTCCCATATGCACCCTTGCATAATGGTGGTGGTCAGCATCAGGAATTTTACTCAGTTGCAGTGCCCATTCGAATCGTTGGATGTAGTCTTGCCCTATACAGTCTTCTCCGCCCTTGAAGTTTGGCATTGCATCGGCGGTACTTTCGTAGAGATTGCTGCCCCACTTGCATTTTGACCCGCTTGTTGCTATGCAGACCGAATGGCGCTAGTAAGTGAACTGATGACGTCTCGTAGTTGGTCGTTAACAATGCTCATTTTAACCACTTCTGATACCACTCTTGTGTTCTTAGTTCATCTTTATTTAACTTAGGTAATTTCACAAGTCGTGTGTTAAGCTATTTCATCATAAAGAGAAGCGAGAGATCGCTAGAGATCGCAATTCAATCGCGCGATAACTTATATGCTAAATATATATATATATATCGATAGTAGCTGAAATTAAAGTCAGACATAACATATTCATTGTCCATAATCATAAGTATATGCAACAATTATACGCACCTGGTGTAGAAATGTCCACGTGCATGAGAACGTAAATAGCTGAGTGGAGATAGCCTGCAGAGAAACGTGCAATAGAAGTAATATTAATTGTCAATTATTATAAGAATACACGAATAATTATACGCACCTGTGAAGTTGAGGGAGAGGTTGCATGAGATTGTAAGTGGCTGCTAAGATAAATGCAGTAAGAAATGATATTAATTGTTATTAATTTAAAAAAAAACGCAACCAATTATACGCACATATTGAAGGAAAAGAATGTCCGGCTAAGTTTAAATTGATGGGGAGAGGGGATATGACAGCCGACACGGGCCGATGCGGTGATCGTCTCAGGTAGGGAGGGAACGCTGGGTCCCGAACCGGGACCCGATCTGGAAAAGTAAAGTGCATAAATAGTGTTTTTTTTTTGTTAATTTATATCACTAACCAAAGAACATATAGATGGGGAATGCCGTACTAGAAATGTAGGCAAAAAAAAATCGGTGCATCTGGTCCAAAAAAAGAGTAAGATATACATATGATTTCTTTTATTCGCGTGCACTACAGGAAACTGCTTTGGCTTACTCTCTTCCATATGATTTGGCGATAGAACGGCCTCGCTGTTTATTTTTATCTGGCTCGCACTTACTCTCAGTGCTCTCAATGCTCTCTTTATGCCTAGGTACCGTTTAAATGTTTGTGTGTGTATGTGTCCGCACAAGCAAAAATTCCCACAAAATCAATTTTTCTCAAATATCTTCCCTTTTGAATGGACGAGTAATATGAAATAATGAAAGGGTTTGAAAGGGTCCAGTCCATGCTTGTTGTTGGGTAGGGTACCTGAAGTTGGCATGCGTACATGAAAACTTTTTGGGCCGGCCAAGCTCGCACACTTACACACTTTATTATATGGATGGAAGCATTTATGCGTTTGCGTGCCTGTTGGTTGCCTGCCTGTCCGATGCAAATAAAAACAAGATTTTAAGTTTTCTAACGTCTCTACCCAAATTAGCTGTGATAAGGGGCACAGAAGCAAAAAATACCCCCATCGTGTCATTGCACAAAAGGGTCTACCAAAAAACCGAAGGCAGCGCCAGCCCACTGAAGAATAAATTTCTTTCTCGCGGCAAACGCCGTGATCTACTTGTACAACACACAACACAATGTGTATGTTTGTAGATATCGGGTTTTTTGAAAAGCTATGCAGGCAGAATGAGATGAACACAAGCGCGCAAAGCAATTAGTGGGAGCGAGGCAAACTCTGCACATGCATACACACATATATTTTTGGGCTGTAAGGATTTCAAACTAACATACATATAACATACATACATCAGCCGCAGCGACGTTGTGCGCTGAGCGAGATGCGGCTTCATACTGAACGTTCGGCTTTTGGGTTTAGGGTATAAAAACAATAAGACAATAAAAAATAAAATAAACAGCTCCGGCGACGAAGGGACCAGCTCTCGGACCAGAGAGGCCAACACCCAGGAAAGGTTTCGACGCAGCGGCACACATCAGCCATACCCTCGGCGCACGTGTCCACGACGCTATCCAGAAGGACAGGCCAAGAAGCGTGGCGATACTCAAGTGAGTCCGTTCCAAGCACTCCCCTCCTCAGACTCAGCCCAGAGACGGCGTGCTGCTGACATCAAGCTGCAGTTGTTTTTCCTGTTCATAGATTAAAGTTTTTTGTATAAATTAAATCATATTTATCACTTTGCATATTTTACCTGGTAAATCTAGCAATTAATCCTGTAACTGGAGGGAACGTCCCCAAACACTATTGCGTCTGCCATCTAACAAGAAGAAAAGAAAAAACGAAGTGATTTCGAATTCATACGATCCATACATATGTATATACTTATATACAAAACAAATCATTTATTTCCATCGCCCTTAGCGCCCCAGAGAGCTCTTTAGGTAGGCTAAGTGTACTTAAGCGATTTGATTTCTACAAATTTATTTTTTATATAAGCTTCTATATAACATGCCATTTTTTTCCAGCGTGGTAACATATATATATATATATATATATATATATATATATATATACGTGCGCGAACGTGTGGGGAGCCAATCGCTCAATTGAATATTTATAATATTTGTTCTCCCACGTTGTTCCCAACGGCGGTTGGCATTAGCTTTCGGTGACGTCCTTTCTTTGTGTTGTTCGGCTAGAAAAGAATTGTATTCTTTTTTATATTAATACACTTTTGTGTTCTTAGTTCATCTTTATTTAACTTAGGTAATTTCACAGGCCGTGTGTGAAGCTATTTCATCATAAAGAGAAATAGATTTATTCGCAATTCAATCGCGCGATAACGTACATGCTAAGAATATATATATATCGATAGTAGCTTAAATTAAAGTCAGACATAACATTTCTTCCCATTCTAAGGGACTGGTGAGAGTATCATTCTTGGTTTATGAACTGCTCTGTTCGCATTGGTGTTTCTATAGGTGTTGACGATCCCCTTGGTGCTGACAGTACATCTTGATTTAGTGAATTATTATTTTCAGTTGTGCGCGAAGCTTTCGGTGTTCTGAAGCTAACATTTTCGTCGGCCTGACTGCCCTGTATATTGTCGGTCGTTAAATCTGATCCGATACTGTATTCCCTTTGTTTCTGATCTGCTATGTTATAAGCAGGTGGTGAATTTCTAGTTTTGCTGATGTTCACTGCTGTGTAGTAAGGTGTATTTTCTGGATTCCTTCCCTCTATGTTTTGTTGTTGTGGTCTTCCCTCCTTCCACACTGTGCCTCGCATCTGGTTGATATGTCTTTTATGGCATTTATTGTTGTGTCGATTTTCATAATGTATCCATTTATCCATTCGCGGGTTTCCAGAAACTACATCCTTAATCTCAAATTGGCGCCACGATTGCTTGCATTTTAAAAATTGTTTTGCTGATACATTTTCCTTGATGGTTTCTGGTCTGATCAAATCCAGTCGTGTACGTAATTTTCGACCCAAGAAAAGTTTCGCTGGAGCTTCGCCAGTTGTGCTATGCGGAGCGTTTCTGTATTGCTGTAAGAATTCGATTACGTTTCTTTTAAGTGTGCTGGATGTCGTTCCTAGTGCCTTTAGTGCACTTTTTACCGTTTGGACATTTCTTTCTGCTTGACCGTTTGTTGCGGGGTGATAGTGCATCCGTAACAATCAAAAGCATCGCGCTTTCAAATGGGCCCGCGTAGTCGATGTGAACGCGCTCCCATGGCGACTTAGGGTATTCCCAATAGTGATCGGAGCATTTCGGAGGTTGGTGCGCGTGTTTTGCACAGAAATCGCATGTTCTTGCCGCATTCTCGATGTCCTTATCGATTCCTGGCCAGTAGACGAAAGAGCGTGCAATACCCTTCATTTTTACTATACCCAAGTGGGCCCTGTGTAGTTCGTCCAGGATCAGTTTTTGAAGTTTAGTCGTGATAACCACACGATGTTTGAAAGTATTGCAGCCGGATGATATCTCATACTTGCACTCTGGTGATTTGTATCCATTTCTTGTAAGACATTGGCCGCTCTCCAGGATTTGCAAAATTTTGCCCAAATGCTGGTCTTTTCTGGTTTCTCGAGCAACTAGCGCAGCTGTAACTGGAAGCTGATTTATTTGTCGTGTTATAAAATTATCGAATTCGTCCCGATTGGCTGTGTTAAAATGGATACCATTACTCGTGTTGAGTGGTAATCGAGAAAAGTAGTCAGCATATACATTTTCCTTTGATGTTTTGGTAATTACTGTGAAATTGAAGATGCTTAAAAAATCTGCATAGCTTGCAATCCTAGAAATGCATAGCGTCGGTAGTGATTTGGTAGGGTGTAAAATTTGTTCGTGTGGTTTGTTATCGGTAACCAATGTCCAACTTCTGGCGTATAAATATTTGAAGAATCTTTGTACCGCCCGATTTGTGTATATCGTTGTTCTGTGGGACTCATTGTACGGCTTGCGTATGCAATTGGACGTTCGCCACCATTTTCCAAACGATGCGATAGTACAGCGCCTATACCTATTTTGCTGGCGTCCGTTGCTAGCACTAATGGAATTGTTGGGTCATAAGGCATCAGCACCTGCTGTGAAACTAGAATTTGTTTGATTCTGTTGTAAGCTAAGTCCGTCTCTTCTGACCAGTAGAATTGTCGTCCTTTGAGTATATCGCACAGCGGTCTTTCCAAAATTTACAAATTTGGTATCAAATTTGAGTAGTAGGCTGCTTTCCCAAGAAACAGCTGCAAGTGTTCGATTGTAGATGGTTTCGGTGCTTTTAAGATGGCCTCAATATGCTTAGTTGATTTATGTATGCCATCTGCGTCAATCTTGTGTCCCAGAAACTCAACCGAAGATGCGGCGAATACACATTTTCATTTGTTCAATTTAAATCCCAGGCTCTGTAATTTTTCTAATGTTGCTTCTAAGGCTCTTATTCTATTAGAATGTCGTCAATGATGTTACGTACATTAGGAATATTTTTCAATGTGGCCTCCATTGTTCTCTGCCAGATTTCCGGTATGTTTGCTGCTCCGTACACTGCACGAGTCGGTCGAATGAGACCGTGTGTTGCCGTATTTAATGTCAGTACGTGTGCGAATTCGTCATCAATGCGCAAATGTGAAAATGCATCAGTTACATCCATACCTCCCGTTTTCTTCGTTACCACATGTGTTGTGGATGCGCATTCTGAGTAATCAACTCGTTTGTAGAAGCTTGCAGCAATTTTTGCGTCGATCTCTTTGGCATAAGCATCACCTTAATAGCTGGTCCTTTGAATGCTCCTGCTGCAGAGTCAAATATCGAATCAAATTTTGTTAGTATTTGCTCTAGTTGTGCCCTCTTACTCGTAGTCAGTCCCGCCGCTTGTACTGCTATTGTTTTGAAAGAGCTTCCTTTTGTCGAGAGCATTTCCAGATCTATGTCGTTGGTGTTGACAGAATTGTTTGTAAAGATCCCAGTAAAATCAATTTCTTTTGCGAATCGGGAGATCCATTCTCGCCCACACCTTGTGTCCAGGTTTCCTTCTACTACATACAGATTTAGTTTACGTGTAGTCTTTCCATAAGTTACGCTAACAACTGCCCGTCCACAGCAGTTGATCCTGTGCCCTGTATAGCTCGAAAATTTGCGGTCTGTTTTCTTTAATCGTATTAACGGTCTAATTTTCCGAAAGGTCTTTTCATTCATTATGCTGCACGGAGCACCTGTGACCAGTTCCATTGGTATTTTTATTCCATCAATCTTCACTGTTATGATTTTTCTATATACTGACTTGATGGCGTTGGTATTAGATTGTTGTATAAATTGTATTTATTCCGGGGCGTCTGAATCTGTTGGCTCGGAGATCTGTTTCGTATTGGCCTTACATACCCTACCTAAGTATATGGCATACTTTACCTCACACGTAACATTTCTCGTTTTTGAATTTGCAATCTTTGCGCAAGTGTTGGCCTCCACGTCCGTAGCATTTGCTTCACTGCTTCACTCCGCTTGACGGTTTCCTCCTGATTGGCGAGAAGCCCATTTTGCATGTAGGCTCTGTATCTGCAGCTTGGCTGTCATTAACCGTGTTTGCTGATCGTAGTAACAATTCCCTGGCATATGCAGCCTCGTATGCGTCTGCAAAGGTTGTTGGCTGTTTTGCGATTACCTCATCGCAAGTGCTGTGATTTTGCATGCCGAAAAGCATTTGTTCTGTTAGCATTCTGTCTAAAAACGAGTCGTACTTGCAAAATGATGCTGCCTGTTTCAAGCGTGGAACAAACGCTGCTAGTGACTCCTCTGGCTCCTGGCGTAGTTGGCGGAATTTGAAACTCTCTGCGTAAATGTTTCGTTTGCCATCGAAGTTATTAATAAGCACTTCCTTAATCTCGCTGAATTGAAGTGTCTCTGGTTGCCTCGGTTTTATCAGGATACGTAGCGCTGAATTCAGTTCAGCTCCCATATGCACCCTTGCATAATGGTGGTGGTCAGCATCAGGAATTTTACTCAGTTGCAGTGCCCATTCGAATCGTTGGATGTAGTCTTGCCCTATACAGTCTTCTCCGCCCTTGAAGTTTGGCATTGCATCGGCGGTACTTTCGTAGAGATTGCTGCCCCACTTGCATTTTGACCCGCTTGTTGCTATGCAGACCGAATGGCGCTAGTAAGTGAACTGATGACGTCTCGTAGTTGGTCGTTAACAATGCTCATTTTAACCACTTCTGACACCACTCTTGTGTTCTTAGTTCATCTTTATTTAACTTAGGTAATTTCACAAGTCGTGTGTTAAGCTATTTCATCATAAAGAGAAGCGAGAGATCGCTAGAGATCGCAATTCAATCGCGCGATAACTTATATGCTAAAAATATATATATATATCGATAGTAGCTGAAATTAAAGTCAGACATAACATATTCATTGTCCATAATCATAAGTAAGTATATGCAATAATTATACGCACCTGGTGTAGAAATGTCCACGTGCATGAGAACGTAAATAGCTGAGTGGAGATAGCCTGCAGAGATACGTGCAATAGAAGTAATATTAATTGTCAATTATTATAAGAATACACGAATAATTATACGCACCTGTGAAGTTGAGGGAGAGGTTGCATGAGATTGTAAGTGGCTGCTAAGATAAATGCAGTAAGAAATGATATTAATTGTTATCAATTTAAAAAAAAAAACGCAACGGCCTCGCTGTTTATTTTTATCTGGCTCGCACTTACTCTCAGTGCTCTCAATGCTCTCTTTATGTCTAGGTACCGTTTAAATGTTTGTGTGTGTATGTGTCCGCACAAGCAATAATTCCCACAAAATCAATTTTTCTCCAATATCTTCCCTTTTTAATGGACGAGTAATATGATATAATGAAAGGGTTTGCCACGTCGATGCGAAATTCTTGCATTTTAGCTCGTTTTTATTGGAAAGGGTACCTAAGCGTTGGCATGTGTGCATTTTTCTCTACATGGCGACCGTGACATATAAACAAGAGCGGCGGCAGCAACAGCAATATTAATTCTACAACGCCGCGGGAAGACCCGACTGCAGCAGCCATGATCAGGGCGAACCTGAGCGGCGCGGGACAGTGAAGGCTGCATCTATCAGCAACAACAACGGATTAAAAGTTCTGAGTAAGTAAGATGTATTTCGTTTGTGAAAATTGTCCAAATGTCCATACGCATCACGCTGGATGAGTATAGGGCAAGACAAAAAACAGCCAGTGAACAGGCTGAAAATAAAGAAACAAATAAAAAGAGAAATCGAGGTGGTATTCAGCTGCGTATAAAGAAACGCAAAGCTGAAATATGCAAGTTATTATATAACAGCAGCAAGCCCCCGATTTCGAACGATGCCTTGAAGAAGCATCAAAAAGATACAAAACACAAACGAAAACACCTTCCACTCAATATATAACGAACTTATCTAAAAAATTGAACACTCCTCAATCAGAAAAGAAGCCGCTGCCAAAATTGACTAAGAGATGCCCTGCTGACTGCGCTGGACCACTTTTCACCCTGGCCTGTGCGATGACCTGCACCAGGACCGCTAACCGCACCAAAGTAACTAAAGATAGAGAAGAGGCAGAAAACAACAACAATTAATAAAGTTATTATAAAACTTTTATATAAATGTAATGACAGCCCACTATGTTGTGTGCGTCAAGGCAGAGTGCAACCTAATAAGTTGTACGAAACATTAGAGAGGAGATCACTGCGTTGATCGAAGTAGGAAAATCGAGAAATTAACAGAAAGGCCATCTGCCCACAAATTTTTTAAATATCATGTCAATTATTCAAATTTTTATATTTCAAGCCTTTAAAACGGGGGTATTATTCACACTCCATAATCATTTCCCTTGGTCCACCATGGGATTAATAGATACAAAGACGGTGGATTCCACCGCTAACGTTATTAATAAATTTGAGGTGGAAACACCAGACTTAAGAATAATAACCGTTCTCCTTGTAATTATCGTAGTGCTAATGTGCATTAACCTTTTCTTCAAATTATACAAAGTGCACAATAGGTGCTTAAAGAAAAAATATATGAGTCGTGCAAACGACTTAGATAAAACATAAAAAAAAAAAAACGATATTTTCTTTTTACTTTTGATCTCTCCTCAATAAACTCAATGGCTACGAACAAAGCGATAGCTGAAGTATATTTACGAGACCCACATTTTAGGGAAAGAGTTCAGCAATTAGTAACTGCAACTGCAATAAGTATGTATATACCAACTTATGTTTCTATATTTGGATACTTTCAATCTCGATCACTCACCTCTGATACATTGCTCATAAACGCAAAAAGGAATAGTATTAAGTACTATTCCTGGTATACAAGTGAAATCAGTAATTAAAAAACACCCAATATTAGGCAGAACGTTAGATTTAGATGTAGCATTCAAAAAAACACTCATCAATTAGAACACCCTATTATAGGCCCGACCGACATTATTATTGTGCGTTTTCACAGATAAATTAAACATGTCAATAAATGGACTGGAGGCAAATCGTTACCATTCTTAGGCGTTGTTTCTAAGTTTTATAAATCCTTCAAGTGACTCAACCCGAGTTTTATAAATCTTTCAAGTGACTCAACAAAAGAGTACCAATTTCAAACGACACAAAATTAAAACACGTTAAAATTCTTGTAGATTCCTACAATATCAGCCGCAAACTTATATGTGACAATGCAACAAAATTAAAAGATTTGCATGTAACACAGACAGTTGATGCACATTAAACATTAAACGAATTTCGGATAGGCATAAAATAACAATATTCCTTCCAAAATTCACTTAACACTTCAGCGTCATTCGACGAGAAATTACTTTCAATGCCAGCTGATACCAAACCATCAGAAACTGAAGTAAATACCCCATCAATTGACAACACAAACAGCTTAAAGTTTTCTCAAACAAGCCTAATCGCTCTTACCAGAGTTTGATAGAAAGGCAGAAAACTTACAAAGCTTCAAAAATGCTTTTAGTCTTATAGACTCACTAAAAGAAGATCATGAAGCAACAGCTGTCAGTCTTATAAAGACAAAACAAAAAGCCCAAGCAGTAAAGGCAATGACCAAAAACTGTGCAATCGATAAGGTAAAAATTATCATGTACGCATGCACATTCAATAACATGAACGATGCCATATCCAAATTTATCAACAGTTGCACTGAAGCAACTGTACAATCTAATACTGTATTGTTTTATCAAAATTATTCTCAACGTGGCGGTAACCGCGGCAGAAGTAATTATAGATGCCGACCATACAACAGAGGCGGCTACATAAATAACAACAATAACTGAGGCAATCCTCGAGGCGGCTCATATAGAGGCGGCGCAAACAGAGGACACACGCAGCAAAACCAGAACCGAGTTACACAAGGCAACTCGGAAAACCATCAAACCCCCTTGAGCAACGAACAATAAAAATATTGCATATAAATCTAAGTCTCAGTAGTCTCATCAAAATACACAATGGAAAAAATTATATATCATTAACTCTGTTAGAAGATACAGGAGCAAATGTCTAAATTTTAAAGAATAATAAAATAGATTAAAATATATGTAAGTCAAGACCATAAAACAAATATATCAGGAATTAGACAGGGTACGATACAGTAAATTAGACAATTGATCTACTTTTCGATTACCTCGTTATCAGTCATAATTTCCAAATAGTCCACAATGAATTTCCCATACCATGCGATGGAATTCTTGGACTCGACTTCATCAGAAAATTTAATTGTATAATAGATTACCAACAGGATGAATTTTCATCATGAAACCACAATCTCTAAATTATCAAATACATGTACCACTATTACATAATGATATTGATAAATTACACATCTGACTAATGAAAATACTGTATTGATACCAAACCAGGAAATTTACACTGGCTTATTAATAGCTAACAGTATAGTAGCAAGTATAGAGCAATAGTTCGTATTTTAAATACAACAAATACGAATATAAAAATACAAAATCCACAAGTTAAATTCGAATCAATAGAAGATTACGAAATTTAAACACAAATTGCTAACAACTACAATAGAAATAATGAAGTCCTGAAAAAATTAAAATTCCCTGAACAATTTAAAAACAAGCTTCCTGATCTATGTACTAAATACAATGACATATTTGGTTTAGAAACAGAAGCAATTTCAAGTAATAATTTTTATAAACAAAAATTAAGATTAGCAGGCAAAACACCCGTATATATTAAAAACTACAGAAATGCAGAAATTAACAGTCGGGTCGAAAAACTAATAAAAGATGGTATAGTAGAACCAAAGACAATATAAACACTAAGATGAGGAACGCCCATACATTTGCATGCGACGAAAAATTTCATGCCTGGCGTTTCATCTGGCGTTTGAGTTTTCGCACGACATGCCTGCCGACTGGCTACTCGTTCTCCAAAAGCCAGACGAACGAATGCCGAAGTCGCGGCTTACTTCGTTTTCGAAGTACATTGAGCGAAAAGTTTTAAGCTTACGATCGACGCAAAGTACTTCTGGTTTATCCATGAAATGCATGCTTTATTTCAATGATACATTACCCTAGATACAAACTATAAATTGTGCACTAAAATTTAAGAATAAAATAATTTTTTTACAAGGCGCAACTTGTGCAATAACTATGTTAAGAAAATATCACACATAGATTTATTTCACCTTTGTTTTTGGACAGTGTATGCTCGAGAGAAGTTCTTGTTCAGCCAATGGCGTGCAAGCACCTATGTTTGCATGTGTGAATTATGCATGCATAACTATGTATATCAAAATATGTATATGTATATGTGTTGTTATTCACTGCCTTGGCTTTGGCTGGTGAAGAAATAAATTTTGTTTTTTAGCGCTGATCATGCGCGACCTATTCCAAATTTGTATTCACAAATGAATGCAAGTTGTGTACTGAGGTTTTTAAATTCGATGTGATTATTTATATTAAATCTGTCAATTAACTTATTAATTAAATTATAATTATTTTCAAGAAATAAAAGCAATGAAATAAGAGCGCAAATTTTGTGTTTCCTAAGATTAATTTTATCAATTTTTTTTGTTGAAATTATTTTTTTACTTCGCCGGTCGAACTAGTTACCGACGTATTTAATTTACCCTATTTGTATTTTTTGGCACTCTTTTATTTTTTAATAAAATAAAAATAATAATAAATAATTTATCATTTAATTTAAAGAAATTATATAAATATTTGCGGCGACTTTCGAAATCAGATTTTCTACAGAGCCAACCTCAGTACACAACATGCATTCGTATGTGAATACAAATTTGGGATAGGTGCATGATCAGCGCTAGAAAACTAACAAAATTGATTTCATTGCCAGCTTAAGCCAGAGCTGTGAATAACAACACATTCAAATATGCTGATATGTATGTAAACTAACACACATACAAACATAATTGCTTGCACGGCTCTCATAGAGCCGAAGCGCAGAATACATTATATTTTTAGCTTTTCGCTCTTTCGGCTGTGAGAGCGCAATGATACTGATTTCGTTTTCGTTCTCAAATTTAAAAAAAGCAAGCTGCATAGTAGCATTTCGTTGTATGGCATTACTCATCTTAGTGTTTATATTGTCTTTGGTAGAACCACCTGTCTCAGAATATAATAGCCCACTTTTCTTGGTACCCAAGAAATTTTTCCCAAATTCCAAGGAGAAAAAATGGCGATTAGTAGTTGATTATCGCCAAATAAACAAAAATCTTTTACTAGACAAATATCCACTACCATGAATTGAGGAAATACTGGACCAATTAGGACAAGCTAAATATTTTTCATGTCTCGATCTTATGTCAGGTTTCCACCAAATTGAACTAGATGAAAAATCTAGAAATATAACATCATTTATAACGAGCACTGGCTCTTATCACTTCACGCGGACCATATGGTCTTAAGGTAGCACCAAATTCATTTATGCGAATGATGACACTCGCATTTTCAGGCCTAGAGCCATCCCAAGCATTTCCCTATATGGATGACATAGTAGTTATCGGCTGCGGAGATGCATTTAAATATTAAATAATAAAAAAGGCATTAATGAAACCAACAAATTAACATAACATAACCACAGATGCAAGTAAACATGCATGTGGTGCTGTACTATCCCAAGAGTACAACGGAGTGCAATTGCCAATTGCATGCGCTTACCGAGCTATCACACAGGGAGAAAGCAATAAATCAACTACTACCATATGCTTATGGAAGGCATTTCTTAGTTAAAACAGACCATAGACCCCTTACCTATTTATTTTAAATGAAAAATCCCACATCAAAATTAACCAGGATGAGACTAGACTTAGAAGAATACCAATTTGCGGTAGAATACCTCAAGGGGAAAGCTAACCATGTAGCGGGTGCATTATCCCGCATAAACATAGAGACACTAATTGGCATGAATATGAAAATATTAATGGTTCAAACAAAATCATCAAAAAGCCAGGAAAACATCTACGCAGATGATAAAACAAAATTGCAAAAAGATCAAAAAGATCCAAAAGAGCCCAATGTCTATGAAGTCATTAGTAATAACGACGTAAAGAAATTTTTGAAACTAAAATAAATAAGTAAAATAAATTGTTTACTTAAAAGAGGAATACGAAACATTTCACAATTTTCAGTTAATGATTTGTACTCCAATGGAAAATTAGACTTGGGTCAATTTTTTCAAAGGCTTAATTCAGATGCCGGAATACATAAAATTGTTAACTTACAGTTGTCAACAAATAAACAAATTTTCGAATTTGTATCATTAAATGAATTTAAAAATATTGGCAATAAATATTTAAATACATTAAAAGTAGCGCTACTAACAAAACTGACACAAATAGACAAAAATTACGAAAGTCAAATAAAAGCAACACTGTCGAAATATCATGATGATCCTATATAAGGAGGTCATACAACGATATTAACGAATAGACACAATCGGTCCATTACCTCGAACAGAGAATGGCAACGAGTACGCAATTACTACAATATGCGATCTCACTAAATGTCTAGTTACAATACCAGTAACAGATGAAACTGCAAAAACAGTAGGTAATGCAATATTTGAATCTTTTGTACTAAAGTACGGTCCTATGAAGACGTTCATAACGGACATGGGTACTGAATATAAAAATTCGCTAATAAATGACCTGTTCAAGTACTCATTGCTTTGCGCGCTTGTGTGCATCTCTTTCTCTCTGCATAGCTTCTCAAAAGCCCCGAGATCTACAAACATACATATGTTTGTGTTGTGTGGATGTGCGCACAAGTAGATCGCGGCGTTTGTCGCGAGCCAGAGATTTTTTCTTCAATTGTGTGCCAATGAAATGAAATATTTATATTATATATACTAATATTTTTGTTTAATGTGGGGACCTATTTTGCTTTAAATAAAAAAAATGGTAAATCATATTTCTGCAAGGCTAATTCCTCGTCGGCTTGTCGAAAAATGCTAAGAAAAGAACAAAAATTGAAAATGTTCAATTTTTGCGACTTGCTACTTGTGGATGCAGACGCATGCTAGACATTCTGATCGTTTATTGCCTGCCATAAAACCCTTTAACCCAAAATGTTTACAATGTCGAAAAATACATTAAGAGATCACTTGCATTTTTTCCATATCAAATTGCAAACGCTCGGCAAGTGCGGTTCACCTGTTTTCGTTGCCTGCTCACACATTTGTGCCTTTCGCGGCCGCAAGCCCACCATCGCCCAAATTTACGCACCCATTGATGAAAATATCTATGTCTCACGACAAACCCTTGATCGGCTCATTCGCACACATTTGTGTGTGTGTGTGTGTAGCGCTCGAAATTCAGATATGCCAAAAACTTCAAATCTTGTCAAATTGCATCGGGCAGGCAGGCAGCCAACCAACACGCACACAAACGCATAAATGCTTCCATCCAAATAGAAAAGTGTGTAAGTGTGTGTGCTTGGCAGGCCCAAAAAGTTATTATGCACATATGCCAACGTTCAGGTATCCTTACCCTTACAACAAGCATGAAAAATAGGAGTTTTGCACATGAACAGGCCAAACCCTCTAATAATGTCACCCAACTACTTACTCGAAAGAGTGTGCGTGTGCACAAGTAGCAAGTAGCAAAAATTTAATATTTTCAATTTTATCGGGATCCGAATTTTCCGGTGTTTGACATGGGTATGCATTGTATAGTTAGTGGTAATATTACTTTCATATTTTTCATCGATACGAAATTCGATAAATTATTGCAAAAACCATGAATCCTTCGGGGCGAATACACACATGTTTTGAAAAAGTCACACTTTCTCAAATGTAAAAAATGTGTTTTCTTATGGGAAAACGTACAGGCCACATTTTTAGCATTATACAGAAATGTGACATTTGCAAAATAATGTAAGAAGTTGCGGCGGATATGTAAATTAAAGCAACTCGATCAGCTGATTATTTAAAGAAGCGGTACTTCTGCCACTCGCATGTTACCGACAGCCGACACTTGTCAATGGGACACCAATATGTGAAATTTGAAAATGTGACACTTCTTAAGCATAGTGGAGAAAGGCAAGAACAATT